GATAGCCCAGAAAACCCTATGGGGCTGTTGAAAACCCTATGGGGCTGTTGAAAACCCTATGGGGCTGTTGTGCTCTGTCTCATGGGTTCTATGAGTCGGAATCAACCTGAGAGCACTCGCCAACAGCACACATTGGGGCGGGTGGATTTCCAGCCGACCTCAGAGCGCACATGCAGTACAAGAGGGTGGCATTCACAACGAGGACCTGAAATCAGAGGACCCTGTGCTGGTCCCCTCTGCCTATTCCCATCCCACCGTACTTTTAGAAAGTTAGGAAGGGAAGTTGGAGCGCTTTTATTCGGCCAGCTGACCTATGGGAGATAGGTCAGCTCACATTCTGTGGATGGCATTCTCAACAGATCCAAGAGCCCCTTCCTTGTCAGCAGCCACGGATGCCACCGTCTTCTGTCAAGGGGCATGACTCTTGTCACCAGAGAGCAATAACATTTTTAGGGAATTTAGAAACGGTGTACTTTTACAGATACCATTTGTCTTCCTCATTTAGTGCTGCTATGACAAAAATGGATAGGCATTTGTTTTCCCACAGTTCAGGACGCTACATGTTCGCGTTCAAAGACCTGGGCCCTAGCGGGAGGGCCTTCCTTGTGAGAGCCTTGGCATTGTGTCAGCATTGTCCCCCTCAGTATGTATGTCCTTGTCTGCCTTGTCCTTTTCATAACTCAGAAGTGATTAGGATTAGGACGGTACAGCCTCATTCATAGCAAGAAAGGAAAAAACCCTTTATTTCCAGACAGAATGCAAGGGAATTCACGGATGATTTCGGACAACACAATTCAGCCCACAAGCACATTAGACCAGCCAATTCTTTGTATCTGCATGTCTAACTCTGTTTTGAAAAAATGTCTTGCTGTAGACTGGCCAGTGTGCCTCCCTCTGGATTAGAATGAGGATTAATTTACCTCCCAGCTTTGTGTTATGGCTGGGGAATTGAACGATTATCCATGGCTCTGCTCCTGACTGCTGTTGTGATGCATGCAGATGTTTGAGGGCAGGGCATATCAATGAAATAATTGATTTTCTTTTTTTTTTTAAGATGTGAAACTGTTGATTTTATTGGGGTTATTTTTAGAGTCCTCCGTACCGTCAGAAGTGATTATAAATTTCTGAGTTACAGTAACGACTTCAGGTGGTGATGCACATGTGGAGATGTTGGCGTGGTCTGTCTTGGATGGGACTTTTTGAAGGGTTCTCTGTGAGCGTTCCATGTGTTTGGTGTGTACGGTCAACACCATTGTTGTGTCAACAATCGTCGTCAGCTGGCCCGCAGACACCCAGCCTCCACCTTTCATTGCTCCTGAATGTTTTCTATCATCTTTAACCGAGGAAGCTCAGTTTTAAATGATTATTTTTTCCTTTACCTTAATAGCCTTGCCAGTGAAATCTTTTCATTGGGTGTTCATCTTTAAGCTTAAAGCCTCTTTGGAACACTTGAAAAGAACGAAGCAATACTTTTTTGTGTGAATTAGGTGGAGCCTCACAGATCCTATCATCATTTTTTCTATTCTACACCTGCACAACTTCCTACCCTCCCAATAGCTTGTCCTGTCTCTCCCCCCTCACCTTTCCCATCTCCCTTTTGTCAGATAGTATCTTCTCCTTCAAGTCAATACCTGTCCACCAGCTCTACCCCAGAGTGGGCACTGCCACCTCCTGGGGGCCACTGGAACAACCCATGCGGGCTGCCAATGCAGGTACCTACACTTTATCCTAGGAGCTCTGTTGGTATAGTGGTTATGAACTGAATTTCTAATCCCAAGGTCAACGGTTCAAAACCACTAGCCCCTCTGAGAAAAAAAGATGAGGTTTTCTACTCCTATAAAGTGTACCAGTCTTAAAAACTCACAGGGGCAGTTCTACACTGTCCTGTGGGGTCCCTATGAGTTGGCATAGACTAGGTGACAGTGAGTTTTTGAGTGAGACACTTTATCCTGGATCACGGGCTATCATACAGAAGTTTTTAATTGCCAGAGGTGCACTGAATGATTTTTTTTTTAGGAAATGGGGGCCGTAAGCCAAATAAGTTTGTAAACCTATATGCCCCACCGTATTACTTCCCCATCCCTCCGGTCTCCTCCTACCCCTGGAAACCATCGTAATCCATTTTCTTTGGCATGATAACCTTGATTATGTTTTTAACGATCAGTTTGTAACTTTCTGTCAATGTTCATTATCAATTTTGTGTGTGTGTGTTTAATCATTTTAGTGGGAGCTTTTACAGATAACAACATCCCATTGTTCCATCACATCGAGCTGCACTGTACAATTGCTACCAGAATCAGTTTCAAAACATTTTCTTTCTTTTCTAACTCTTTGATGTCTGCTCCCCTCTATCCTCTCCCTCCCCCAGCATAGCCCCCCACACCCCCAAGAACCCTTATTCTTTTTTCTATAATAGTTTTCTTTTGCCATATCTTACACAATCCAACATATCCGTTCACACACAAATCTGTTGTTCACTCCCATGGAGTGGGTTATACAGTCATCTGCTGCCTGCTCCCCATCCCATCCCCACCCCCCTCCACTTTCTTCCTTTGCCCCCAGGGAACCATTATTCCTGTTACTATTTCTGAAGGGTTATTCTATCTCGACGTTCATGTTCTGAGCCATCTTAAATAGGTAATATGTAAATCTAACATGATTAATGAGTAAAACAAATATAAACCATAATAGTAAGGGGAAGAAACATTAAAGATCTAGAGCAGGCGGCCTCAAACTCCGGCCCACAGGCCACATGCAGCCCACCGAGGACATTTATCAGGCCCGCCGGGTGTTTTTGCCCCATTTGTTTTTTTACTTCAAAATAAGATATGTGCAGGGTGCATAGGAATTTGTTCATAGTTTTTTATTAAACTATAGTCAGGCCCTCCAACGGGTCTGAGGGACAGTGAACTGGCCCCCTGTTTAAAAAGTCTGAGGATCCCTGATCTAGAGGATGGTTATGTGGTTCATCAGTGCCACTTCGCCCTGGGTTTAGTATCCCTTCTGTGTGGCCCTTCTGAGACAGACTGTCCAGTTAACTTGCAGGTGAGTTTTGGGTCTCCACTACATCCACTCCCCTTCCATCGATTTGGTTGCTTGTTTCTGAACCTCTGGCATCTCTTCCTATCAACACCCCATGATCACACAGCTGATATGCTTCTTCCATGTGGGCTTTGTTGCTTCCCTGCTAGATAGTCTCCTGCTTAACAAAAAGCCTTTAAGACCCCAAATGCTATATTTTTTATTAGCCAGGCACGATCAGCTTTCTTCACCACATTTGCTTTTGCACCTATTTTGTCTTCAGCGATCATGTCAGGAAGGTGAGTATCATACAGTGCCACATTGTTAGAACAAACCGTTCTTGTACTGAGATAAGATTTAAGTAGAGGCCCAAAGTCCATCTGCTTCCTTATTGCATTTGCATATATATACATATTTTATATATATCTACATATGCATGCATATACTTTCTTCTTTCCCCTTTTGTTCTTCCTACCCTACTATTATGTTTACCCATCATGCACCTCTCAGTAATTCTTCTCAGATACAATTCGATTGGTCAAACATGACAAGAAAAGCTACACACTCCTCCCCATCAATTGTTGAACACTTACTAGTTCCCTGGACTCATCTTTGCTGGCTTCCCCCTCGTGTCTACACCCTTCTTCCCCTGCCATGCCCCCCAGGAACCACTGATCCAGTCGCTGTCTCCATAGGATTGCCCATGCTGCCTATCTTGTGCAGATAAACATTAAGATGGTAGGAAGATAGATAAATAGTCACAGTCTAACAGTGATCCTGACATAGAACATATGAATACCTCTATGTTAAATAGAGAGAAGGGCATGTTATAATCCATCAGTCTAATGAAAAACTAATAATTTATAAATTATCAAGGGTTCATAGGGGAGGGAGAGGGGGAAATGAGGAGTTGATACCAAGCGCTCAAGTAGAAAGGAAATGTTTTGAGAATGATGATGGCAACAAAAGTACAAATGTGCTTGACACAATGGATGGATGGATGGATTGTGATAAGAGTTGTATGTGTCCCCAATAAAATGATTTTTTAAAAATCCGTCAGTCCAGTCCCCATTTCTTTCAGGGTTACATGTCCCAGGTCCGCTTACCTAAAAGTGCATACAGCCCTTTAGTCTTCAGCATTCCTGTCCAAGGGCGAGCACCCTAAAAGCCCCATTGCCATTTCTGCAGCCAGGCATGGAGCAGTCTGTTGCTCCCTCCCTCCCACCCCCCGCACCCCCGCAGCCCCCAGTTAGGCCTTTAGAGTTTTTCAGTGTGACTCCCTTGCGAGTAATCCCCAATCAGTTCAGATGGGGTGCAAGTGCTGCCTCCCAACTCAGAAGTCTACCATCAGGATTCTTTGGGGTCTGTTGTGCACCCCTCTTGATTTTAAGGAGATCAGGTTGCCATGGTAATGCTCACTCAAACTCAGCCGACTCACAGCAACCATATGGGGCAGGGTAGAACTGCCCCTGTGAGTTTCCAAGAACATAACTCTTGATGGAGGTAGAAAGTCCCATCTTTCTCCCTTGGAGCGGCTGGTGGTTTCAAACTGCCGACCTTGCAGTTAGCAACCCCACATGTCACCATTATGCCAAAGGAAAGGAAATGCTTGTCTTTAGATAGGCAAAGCAGTGGAGAATAAAGGAAGCCGACGTGTGCATTTTTGGGTACTGTTTCTCTGACTCTGCCTGTGGTTTTCTTCCTCCTGAAAATCAGCAAGGATGCGATGAACATCTGCAGACTGCTCTCTAGCCAGCAGAGAGGGGAAGCAGACACGGCCGTGGGCACGCACCTCTGTGGAAGGGGCTGCGATGCACTCTTGGATCCTGCTTAGCTTTAGGGCATGCTCACTGAAAAGATGGTCAACACAGCAGTTTTGTTGTTTTTAAATAAATAGCAACTCAACTGGCGCCTGTTGTGTTCTCCTTTGTCTCTGTGGGTTCAGTCTGGTGATAATGTGCTGGTTTTTGGTTAAACAGATTGAGGAGCTGCGTGAAATAGAATACATTGAAAAGCTACCTCTCCTGCGAATTCTCAATCTTCTACGGAACCCCATTCAGGTAAGAGATCATGTATCGTGGGTGGGGTGGGGAGGCAGAGTGGAGACCCTCTTGGAATTCTTCCAAGAAGCTTTTTTCTTTCCCTTGTTTAGTGTTGCACCTTTTTTTGTGTGGCAAAAACACACGCATCATACACCACATACACCACTGACCTTCTACATTCCCTGGGTCGTGTGGACCTGCTCCCCCCACCCCACCCCACCCCCAGTTGTTCTGTTGCCATTGATTTAAATTCACTGACCCCTCGGCTTCTGCTCTGGAACTCTTGTGAATGACGCTCATCAATTCCACCTCACAAAGAGAATTCTATTTCTCGCAAAGAGCACCGTGTTTCAGACAGACAGACTTATTAAGATCACTCATTTTTTTTCTGTCCATAAAGAGACTTCAGGGGGGAGTTGGGATTACAGAGTTAAAGGTCGTCTCAGGGAAATCTCTTGGGGATTTGTCCAACCTCAATGACTCCAGAAAGTCTGGGTTCCTCTGAGACCTTCCCATTCTGTTCCCCATGTTCCTCTTCCTCCCAGAAACACTTTCAATAAAGAACATGACATGTGATAGCAATGGGGGGAGGCGGAGGGGGGTGAATGGCAATGAGGACAAGACAAGCATGTTCCAAAATTGGATATGGTGATGATTGTGAGACTCTTAAGATGACGGTGTGGTTGAATTGTATGCTAGGGGAAGCACCTGCCAACAAAGCTATTTTAAAAATGTGACAGTGGGCCAGCCTGCATTCTCTGAGTCTCAGGAACCCATGGGAGGTGTAGGTGAAGTGGCACCGACATTGACTTGATCTTTGGGGAGCAGATGCTTCCTAACAAGCAAGCTCCATTGCCATCATTGTCAGAGTGAACCCCAGGGGTTGAGTCTTGGCATGACTACTCTGCTTGTGCATTGAGTCACCCCCCACCCACCCACTCACCCCGGAGTGGGCTGC